AGGAAAACGGTTTGACACATTCACAGTTTTATTTTTACACTGAGCTTTATTAGTTTATAATGACTGGAAATAGTCAATTACGTATTAAATAAAGGACATAAATTTAATAGAGAGCGATTTCATAACTATAGCCACAACAGACAGTTCACCATGGAGCTACAAAAAACGAAGGTAAAATTTGACAACACGAAAGTTTAGTAATGATATCCTTGGTGCCCGCGCATGCAAAATAGAAAGAATCACATTGTAGGCACCATCCAAAATTGATTTCACTCACACAGCTATTAGATCACTTTTGTCTCATTTTAAAAGTACATGTAATGTTGATTTAATGCAATTTCCAGGAATTTCCAGGACTTCTTTTAAAAAATAAACATTTTCAAGGACGTTCCAGGATGTGTGTAAAATTCCAGGATTTTCCAGGTTTTTCCGGAGGCGTGCGAACCCTGCTTTACAGAGGTCACCGCCGCTTACATGTACCTCAGTGTTTTCATATATGCATAATTATATAGTTCAACAATGCACATGGTCCAACCTTTGTAAAAATGTAGACTGATATCGGGGCATTTAAAACAAGCAATATTTATTGTTTTAGAATCCACTGTTCTTCTCAAAAAAGTAGACGGATAACGAAAGGGAAAAACAGTATGTAACAGGCATCGTTCACAATAAAACTGAATGCCAGATTGCATCAATCAAAACAGCAAACCTCTACAAGGGCCGGTTCCATTTAAATATTTGGGTAAATCGGTAATTTGGTATTAAATTAAATATTTAAAAGTGTAAATGCCCCACCCTTATTGCACATGCCCATCAAAGGCACCGTTCCGCAGCATGACAGTAAATGGTCCCTACATGTCGGGTTGCCATATGCATTCTTGCTCATTGTCATCGTTGGAATTGAAGAGTTCTCCTATCTATTGGGGACAGTCCCCGCACTTGACGCCTACATTTCGTAACTGAGCACCCAATGTACTTTTCCTTCAGAATTACAACGCTTCCTGATTCTTTTTGTGGCCATTATCAAAGGGTCTACAAAATTCCCTTTTTTCCCCCACGACCCTTGAAAATGTGCCTCTAGGTTTCAATTTATATTATTTCTGCATTTTAAAGGTATTTTGGCACCTTTCTGTTCATTTACATGTACACTGATGCAAATTTCCATATTCACAAACAAAACAGTGAGGTCATTCCAGGCAGAAAACTTCAATGTTGCATTGATCAAAACAAAAAAAGCTAGAAGTTTTGAAATGTTCTTATCCCAAATCTCCTTCATCTTTGGTGATTGTAAGTAAATGGCATAAGCTACCAGGGAGCAGTCATTTTCTAAGAAACAATATTCAGTGACTTTGGTCTGGTTTCGTGTAGCACGCCCCCGTCTTTCACTGGTGAAAGGACTTCCCCTCCCCCGATGAAAGCAAGAGGAACAACTGCCACATCTGCATAAAAAAACTGCAAAACTGAAAAAAAAATTACCTTGTCTGTGTTACAAAGCAAGATGTTCCTGGCTGCCAAGTCCCGGTGCAGGAAGTGCTTGGACTCCAGGTATTCCATGCCGCTGGCGATCTGCACGGTGTAGTCGCACAGCGTGGCTATCAAGAATTCGTCGGGCTTACTCCGAAGCCGGTCAACCAAGGCACCCAGGGGAGCTAGCTCAGTCACCTGATTGTTTCACAGGGAAGAGGGAAATGAGGCCATCGTGTTTTTATTTATTGGATTATGAACAAAACATGACATTTTGCAGGGTCGAAAAATTGAAAAAATAAAATATCAAACTCTCAAGTTCCTTTTTCCTCAACAATTAATTGATCTGGGGTTGGAGGAGAAAAAAAAAGGAATTAAGTCCATATTTTTCGAAACACTAACAAACATCGTTTTTTTTTCTAAACTGCATTTAATTTGGAGTCAGTGGGTTGTAACCAACCCCCCCCCAAAAGATGACATCATAATGCAGTATCTTTATGGCAAATGTCAGCACCCACATTATCACTGTTCACTGGAGCCCAGGGAACTCTGGGAACCCCTGGGGAGCATCTGCCTTGAGCCACGTTGGTGGGGGGTGTTCATTTTGTTAATAGCGATGCGACCATAACGTGTGCATTTTATAGTCATTAGTGAACCAGCCAAGTGCAGTTCCCACCCAAGGGGCCTCCCTTGCTGGGGAAACTGCGCCCTCTCTTGTTCCAGCTCGGGGCTCGTTCAACCACAAGTGAAGCCGTTTCAAGCCCAACCAGGTTAACCATAACCCCCTTGGCATATCATTTGGGTGACAGGACTCAGTACAACAAAATGCTAAGCAGTAGTCTGAGCCTGAAGGACCTAGCGCTACTAATTACTGCTCCTAGCTGGGACACTTCCATTGTTACTCGTACAAAGAACAATAAAGCCATGCATTCATAGTGCCACAGCATTGTATAGTACATTTTCTTATCTATTGTATCTCATGGCTTCAGCGAACAATAAGGTCATGTCCTCATACAAGCAACAGGACTGTATGCTACATGTACATGTACATTTTACCACAACATGTAAGTAATAATTTTTAGTATTATGTAGGGTTAATCAACCACAAAATAACCCTCTCGGGCTTCATGGGTACATTGTACTTCTTTATGGACAGAGACAATTCAGGATTAAGCGACTTGCCCCAGGAAACAATATGTGCCCCCACTGCAGGATTTGAAAGGATTAATCCCTTACCACTGGGTCCCACATCCCCCATACATGTACTGGTATTTTACCATTGCTTGTACATGAACCTGTTCATATATCAATGTACAGGTAATGCCGTAATCAGCTGGTTTGGGGCCAAATGCACAAAAGCCCAAATGAAAACAAGGATTCTAAGGTATTAAAATAGAAAAAGTGGAAAGGGGTGTTAAGGGTGGAGAAGGGTGGAGTGTTAGTGGTGGAGAGGGGTGTTAGGGGTGGAAAGGAGTGTTAGGGGTGAAAGGTAAAGGCGCAGGTTCCAATTTTCAATACACTTGTATCAAAAATTGTTCTGGTTGATTAACCCTAACCCTCCTCAATCCTTCACCTGTTGGAGGATTGAGGAGGGTTAGGGTTAATACGAGGAAGTACATGTGCCAGTTTCACAAAAATCTATATTTAGGAAATACACATGTACATAACACAGCGGGAAAAACTAGCATCTATGCACGTAAACTGGACAACAGAAATTCCACTCAAAAAATTTCAAGATCCTTCAAAATCTAATGGGAGGTTTTTGTAGGATTGCGGAGGGTAGCAGTTACTTGTACATGTATTCTACCTTTCCATGGGGCTGGGCATTCCTTGAACGTTACAGTTCACAGGACAAGTCATTGATTTCCTACACAGCGGAGGATTTTGGAGAATTCAGGAAAAGTTCCAATCTGTTCCCAGATTACTTGGAAGCAAGGTTTAACCCAGTTTTTGTTGTAAGCCAAAGAGAATTGTCACAGGGCTCACCATCATGAAAGGAGAGGCAATAACGACGCCGTACAGGCGAATGAGATTGGCATGGTCCAGCAAATGCATCGAGTTGATCTCTTGGACAAAGTCCTCAAAGAATCCCGCCTGACGCACAGCATCATTTCTTAAGCACTTCACGGCGACGTCAACCTGAGAAAAAAAACATCCAATGTCAAGACAAGTGTACACGGACACGTCGGTACTGCCTTCCGTTTGTTTACAGGCATTGACCACCATTTCGATTGGGCGGCCAAACTCTGCCAATAGCACAACGTCGGATTTATCAAACACCGTCAGAATGAAATGTACAGGCATGTAAGTACAGTGAAAATAGACACTCTCTACAAAATTTTAGAACTTTTTAGGAGTGTAGTTCTCCTAAACGGACAGAGTTGCTACTGTTGCAGCTGTGGTAAGCCTGATTCTTGATGAAAATTCAATCCAAGATTATCGTCAGAAAAGCTTTTTTTTTTTCAATTTGGACCAATTCTTTGCTTGCACCACTTGCTGGTGGTATTATTTGTGATCTCAAACCCACAAAGGAGTGACCCATGTAGGTTTGAAAAGGGCAAGGCGAGACACGTCAACTGACTTTTCAAATGCAGCCACATGTCGCAAATGCTGGCTCCCGAAGCCATCTGTAGATTTGTACAACATTTTACACCGCAACTTCACAATTTGCGACAGTCCGCGGCCCTGCCCCGGAGCAATATTTGCTTCAGCACTGGCAGCGTGTAGGGGTCAACTTCGAGTTCAAAACAGTGTCCACCTTCACAGACTTCTCAGACATTACGTGAGCTCAAAACAAATAGGAGACGAGAGACAAATAACTGTCTGCTATTGGTCGTCCAGGGAACGTTCAACGCTTCAACCCATCAGCAATCCTCTTTAAAATGGACTGCATCATTGTGTTTAAACATCCTGCAATGCGATTTAGGGCTGAATCAATTCAAATAATTCACTGTTCGAATATTTGATCTTCAATTTGATCGAATATCTGAATATTTGACGTGCAATTTGATCAAATATCTGAATATTTGACCGGCAGATTGTTGATGAACAAACCATATACAAAGTCAGTTGCAATAACACACACTATTGTACATTATGATCAATATAATAGCTTCCCACATCTAGGAGTTTCTCCAGCCATGATTTAACAAGATTTAAGAAGTTTAAGCAAGATGAAGCAAGATTTAAGACTTCTTGCCCTGTTGAAAATTTTTATTTCTTTTAAATTGTTTAAAGAATAAGTTACTTTTTAAATCGCTGTAAGATATCAGTCACTTTTCATTTGAATCTGCTTGAAACAAGCCTCCATAGTGCAATTTTCCTCATTTAAAACAAAAGAAAATCTTCCCTTACTTTTCATGAATTTTGCATTTGAATAATCAAATTTGAAAAACAATATTCGAATATTCGACAATCGATCGAATATTCGGTTATTTGGATATTCAGCACAGCCCTTATGCGATTGCAGGATTTGTCGCCACGGATCTGGAGTTTTGGTTTGCGAAGAGTTGCATTAACTTCATTAATATGGCATTGAACTGTGCTAACCGTACCGTGAACGCCATTAGTAAGATGGGTTTGGCTTTTATTAAATTAGGGGGGGGAATTCCAGGCTCCTGTCCTCTAGATATAACATGTGCATCTCTAATGTTATTAAGAAATGGAACGCATTCTGTTGTAACAATCACGACAGAATTAACGTTGCAAATCAGATAGGGAGATAACCGTAAGGCGAGAGTGCCTTACTAGGAGCGGCTTTAGCAGGAGTATTTATGCATTAGTTAAATGTGTACTTCACATTTTTATATTCTTGTTTTGTGTGTTGTACGTTTACATGACTTGCATTTTTTTTTTATGCCAATAAAGAATCTAAACTGAACTGGTAAATTACAGCAATCGGAAAAAAAATAATGGGCCGCAACGTAATCCGTCAATAATTTGAAATGCATAAGCGCACACCTTCGAGTAAGTGTTATGTTGCTCATTCGTGTACCTGTCTGTGGCCCGGGGTAGTCCACAGTCCCCGTCGAACTACTCCAAACGAGCCGTCCCCCAGTTTCTCGTGTAGGGTCAGTTCCGATTCCCCGATCAGGCATGTCAGGCCGTGCTTGAGGCTGCTGCTGGATGCCTGCGACTCGGACAACGGCTGGCCCGAGGTCACTTTGGCTTTGGCAGCGCCTGCGCCGCTCTCTCCCTTGCGATTCAGCACCTTGAAGTAAAGATCAGGGGACATCCTTACTGTGTTGTCGTCAAAGGTGAACAAAGGGATGGTGGGGGAATTGTACTTGGTTTTGTTATCATTTTTTACACTAACCATCCTCAATCCCCGAAAATCTACCCAGCATTTCTTTGCAGGATTGTGTCTGATTTTGAAGGATGCACTGTCTTCGGCTGCTCAATATGCTCAGTTCTACTTAAATTAACCCTCCTTTGGTTTTACAGCACAAATGTGCACAAATGCCCACAGTCACTGGTGAGCATGTATTTTCTACATGGAACTCAAACATGCACAGGTTCAGTGTGTACACAACAGGTTGTCAGCACAAAATGACCCAGGGTCTTTTGTGCAGTCCTCTTCACTGCATTTGGTTTACTATACAATGATGCACATGAAACAGTGAAGCAAAGTTGTTGGGCAGCACAAAAGTGCAATCTGATATTCCTGTGAGGGACAGTTAGTGCAGTGCACAACACAACACAGCTGTGCTTCTTTGAGGTGTTCACCAAATGACCCAAAGAGTGACTTCAGCATAGGAGGGTTAAGTTCAAGATAATATTTGAAATTACCCACACTGCTCCAGGATGTCGTGCACACTGCCTCAACAGCATCAACATACATAAATGACAAGACTGCAGGAAGATTTATAAGGATAAGGCGGTGGTCATCCCTTCAATGGAGAATTTTAAAGGACGGAGGCTACATGTATATCCAACTTTTATCGAGACGCAGTTGGAGGATTTTGAAGGACTGGCGATGCAGCCAAGCCAAGAGGGCTCAGGGGTTAGGGTTCACTAAAGCAAATACATGAGACATCAATAACAGAGATGGTGGTCCATCCGTTAATATGGAGGAGTATAGCATGGTTGCTAGGATTTGTAACTTGTGACCAGAGTGGTCAGGGGTTCGAATCCCAGCCGCTGCCCTTAGGTCATAACCTTGAGAAAGCACATATGCATTATGTCCGGTCTCTACTTCATGTGACTTATGGTACTTGACTGGAGCCAATCTGCTTCTACATGCAAGAGTTTCTCTGCACTCTGATTCACAATGGCATCAATTTTCGTTGGCATCGTTCATGCATGGAGCTCAGAATTCTGCAGCCATGTTTATGCACTGCACTGTAAGATACTTCCCCGAGCGACCAACTCGGTGGGTCAATACTGGCGTTTCACAGTTGTGGGCCTCCGTGAGTTTGCAACGGGTTGACCAATCACAGCATGCGAAATCTGTCGACCAAATGCGTATTTGGAAAGGGTCGACAGATTTCGCGCGTTGTGATTGGCCAACGCGTTGCAAACTCTTGGAGGCGCACTATTGTAAATCGCCCGTATTCTTTAGGATAGGCCGGAGTAAGTGCAAAAAGTCACACGAGGGTCAAATCAGACACGGATATGCTTTACCTGAGCAAGGGAAATAATTCAGCTTACTGATTACATATTTACTTACCCTTCCGAGGAAAGTCCGCCGTCGTCGTCGTTTCACCGCATCCAGCAGGCGCCTCACGGCCGGTCGGCCCATGCCTATCTTTTCCAGGTCCTCGCTCTTGACGTAGTCAAAGTGTTCCAGGCGCGACAGATGCAGGTCATCGTGGATGCTGCTGAAAAACTGCAGGAGCTGTGTTTCCTCTAGAAGCTCCCTAAGCCACTCAAGATTCTCACTTTCCTCCATGGTCAATCACAGCAGTTGGAGAGGCTACATGTACCTATCACAATATGTATACTTATCTTCAAGCAAATTTGAACCCTCGCTTCTGATTGGTAAGCCCCCCCCCCAAAAAAAATAAACAAAAATTGGAATGGAATCTCCAATAGATGGGCAGACACCCGAGTCCTTTCCTGTTGGTATGGGTCCTCGGGTGAATGCAGTCCAATCCGCGAGGCACGTGGTCTTCTACGAATGCCGCAGCGGTTTGGTCGACAACAGTGTGATGTCATACTGAACTACACGGTCCATGTCGCATCTCGTGCACTGTGCTAGTTTACACTTGGGCCTGGCGTACAGCTGGGTCATTCCATGAGGTTAGGGCACAATTTGTGATGTATCCTTTTTACATCGGTAACTTTTACTGTCTGTCGTGACTTGTAGAGTAGGTCATTTACTCTAAAAATAACGCACACCTCTGTATTCAGCCTTGCAAGATGTATAACAATGTCAATTTGGAATCCACATTCAGGGAAATAGCTGTTCATTTTTACAGCACCCATGTAACAATTGACACCATCACAAATTGTACCCCAACCTCACGGGATGACCCAAACTGCAAATTCATAGTGTACTTATCCAGGAATGTATGTGGACAGCAAAGGAAACTTGCCACTTCTGTCCAACGCCACACATCAAAATTCACTCCATAGAAATAAACAATGTTTGTACACAGGTATGCTGCAAATACCCCTTACGCAAGTGATTATCTTTATAACAAAGAAGAAATTGACATGCACAGCAACTTGATTACTGAATCAAAAGTCACAGAATGTTAT